GCGTGGTGATTAATGCTCTAACTTTCTCCGTATGAGAAGAGGCCTTTGCTCAGCAGTGGGCACTTATAGGCAGATGATGATGATTTGTTAGAATCGGAGTGAAGACAAATGTAAAGGTGTCAACAACGGAAAAATATTTCTTTTTATAACAATAACGAATGCGTTCCTTTTTATACTAGTAGAAAAGTAAACCGAATCGATAAATAAATCCGTAGAGAGTTTGATATAAAAGGGTAGGTATCATACTATGATAATGCATATGATACTATCCACAGAGAGGCATATGAACTCATTATGAATTCACAATCGGGGAATACAAAACTAACACAATAGGTCCGTGGATGCAACAATGCAAGCATTCAACCAACCATACATTTTATTGTTCCCATTTCTTTCGCCACATATTCACGCTCATTCAATTAATTTATTCATTAAAGTGTGTAGAGCTCTTAATGCTTTCAGAATGTGGCCTGAAAGACGGTATAATTTACTTATAAAAGCTTTTGTAAACATTGTATTGATAATTATGTAGGAATGTCTTTATTTTGTAATGCAGACTGAATAAAGTTATTAAGAAACATGGAAAATATCTTGAGTTGATTATTTGCACGAGACTTTATGACGTCACATTTTACCTTCACGTCTTATTAACATTACGTATTGCCTAAGGCGCTTCAAAATTAACTTTAGGCAAATTGCTTGAATTCAGAATCCTGAGCTGGGTGGCATTTGGATAGAAGTGAATATCTTTTCTACCAAATCGTTATAGTATCTAAAAATTTTGAGATATTTCAGCTTGAGTATATTTTTATAATCGAATTATCTAAAGGTACAAAATGCATAAAATTCGTCATTATGGGCCCCTACGTGACTTGAAATAAGTTGAGTTGCCTTGTCGATCAGGATGAAGTGAGTAAGCCGTGCAAAAAATTTCATGAAAAAAAAACCCAAAATGAATATACTTTTACATCGTATAAAATTTATTTTAATTACCTACATTGTATTTTCCTTTTAAAAGGCGTTATCTGAGAGTTGAAATTAGCTTTGCAATACGAATCTCAACACCTTTCGCTTTGAGTCGTTTATTTTTAATATCACCGTGTAACAGTGAGCATAACAGTGTACAATATGTCAAGTCATCTGTGTTATACGATCGATTTTTATTCCCAACTTTTCCTCTATAGGAAGGCATAATTTCCGGCAACAACGTAAAAAATGCCATTTACTTCATCCTACGTATATTTCAGTTCAACAAAGTATCTATAAACAAGGTTTTAAGTATACGTAGGTTGTAAATTTCATTTGGACAAGTCCAATTCCATGGTTTTGTAAAGAGGGTAATTTATAAGTATATCATTAAAATGCACGACTCATTTTATTTTCAAATAGCAATGAGTGACTTTATCCTGCTGATATTATATGGACTAAAGTAAGTAAGAATGGGTGTTTGTTACTCTGTGACGTAAAAAGTATGGGAGAGCTAAGCATCGGCACGAATGGGTCGGCTCGACTGGAGTGATACCACGGCCTCACAGAACACCAGCGTAAAACATACGGTTGTGTTTCGCCTTGTGAGTGAGGTTACCGGAGGCCCAATTTCCCAACGTGGGAATAAATCTTAGTCCACCTATTCGACAATTGCACTTTTTGTGTTCTAAGCAACAATTAATTTTCATGACTTTATTAATGTGTAACTAACTATATTTCTATATAATAAGGGTATTTGAATACTTAAATTACATAAAAAAATTCAATCACATGCTGAAATTAAACCTCGTAAAATAAATCTGATAAAGCAACCACAATTGGGGTTTCCATGTCGGTTAGTGGTTACACGAAATTCAACCGTAAGTATGTAGTATATTAATTAGTTTAATGTATTTGTCGTACTCATATATACCGTGGCATATATGGCATTCCAGATGCAACACAAGAAAACAATACAATTCGAATTCAGAACATACTTCTTGAATTCGGAAAATAACAAAGAGACGCACATGTTTTTCTGTAAAAGCACAATCCGACTAAAATTCAAACGTAAAAATAGAGATAGAGATAGAGAGAACGTAAAAATAGATAAAACAGATGTATAAAGTCTTCAAAAAGCTGTAATATGACCGTAGTGACAAAAACCATTTATCATTATTATCAGTTATCCGGATACGCTCAGAAGACGGTTATTATAAAGTCGACTCACGAGCCTGAACCAAATTTTCCCATGAGAGATGATTCCGTAACTGCAGCCTCGTGACCCTTTTAGAACAAATGAAAGTATTTAAAAGATCTGCTCGAATCCCGTTTCAAGAACATTACAAAGAATTTTCGCTTCGGATCGAATTTGCGTGTTCTCTGAAAGATTACATTCTAATCGATTGTCGACATAGACCAAAGGATAAGCGAGTCACATTTGTCGAAGAACCGATAAACCGCTGAGATAGATGGGGCAGCTCGGTCGGAGTGATACCACGGCCTTACAGAATACTGGCGTGAAACAAAACATACGTTTTATTTCGCCGTGTGAGTGAGGTTACCGAAGGCCCAATTTTTCCTCCCCCCACTCTCAGTTCCTAAGTCCCCTATTTTTAAATCCCTAATAATACACAAACGGCCGGTAAGCGCCGGTATCAGCGATGGTGATTGCATCAGGTTATACGTTTGCTCGTTTGCTGACTTATACATAAAAAGTAAACGAATGTTTATAGACATCTCAGAAAATATTTCTTCAAGTTTACGACCACCATGATCCGTGACTATAAAACTCTTGCGTATTAGTCCAACATTCAGCGTTCTATCATTATTTACGGCATTGTAACAAAACGTCGGAAGTGAATGATTGATTCACACAATCCTTTTTTTTAATAATATTTTTTCTGGGAAATCATATTTCATTCCGCTAGTAAGTCAACTTGGCTGACCAGTACAAAGCTAAGCTGTGGACGGTTGCTATGATTTATCTGACGTGTTGAATTATTGTATAAAGTATTACTGCAATCGATAAGTCTCAAAGGCTTAAGGTCCATTTTTCAATGCACGAAATATTTTACAAATCGAGAATGTAGAGTATTTATAAAAATGTACCGTGCATTTTTCTGGTGCTTCGGATTTATTTGAGCCGGGAATTTTGAGATGAGTAAGCGATAGAATAGATACTACATGACTTTATGTGGTACTTGAAATATTTGCTTGGGATTTTATCCTCAGAATAGTTTTTAGAATTTTATAAGAATTCGTATTGAACGAGAGATTTATGTCATGTCTATGTTATATTTTTTTTTAATATGTATGTCTATGTTAACTGTTGATTGCACTCACATGCCTGAAGCGCAGAATATTCATGGCAGATCTATACAAAAGGATCCTTTGCATTCCCAACACATTTGCTACTGAACCTTTCTTTCTAAATCCCTTTCTAATCTACCGTTTGAGTCCTTTAGTGCCTAATTGAAAAATTATATAATGCTTCGCATAATATATAAAACAACTCATGCATTTCACGAATCTTTTAATGGTTGGTGGGACTTGTTTGAAAAGCACGTAAGTTTTTATTGAAACCAAACTGCATTTTGAGTTGCGGCTTGCGAAATACATTTCAGTGTCTCAAGTGTTTCCGAGGGTTACACTTACTTGAGGAACATGTTAGTTCAGTTTAAAGTTAACGTCGCTTGAAGCTGTAAAAACCGTGAAGTACACACAAGTACACACTTACAAATAAAAAAAGTTTTTCTCACAAATTGTTACGTACGACTTTATTCGTTTTGGTAGGCGCCAGTACTCGTTTCAGCGTAAGCACCTAAATCTCAAATTATATAGTTGCGAATTTGTGATTCATGAGAAAAAATCCAATACTTCAACGTATTTGTGACTCGATTTTATTTTATTATGTGAGATTCGAGGCGCTGATTTTTTTTATTTGTGCGACTGAAGCGTTATAGCGTTCTGACGACGCGACGCGGGTACTGTAGGAGGCTACATATTGAATGGCTTACAACTTGCTGCATCAATTCAAAAATGCTTCTATTGTTCACTCCTTTTTTAATTTCGCGTTTCGCCAAAGACTTCCGATTTTCTCGCCGAGGCATTTTCTACTTACAAATAGGCAAGCTTGTTTTTCTTACCACTTTTATAGATTATATTTTGCAGTTCTATTTAACAGATAGTCATTATAGATATCACAGAAATGGGACATAATATATAATTAATTAATGTAAGAAATATTCATTTAGGTTTACAAGATAAATACAATTAGAAAATTTAAAATATTCCAATTTTTTTGCTTCTATTTTTTTTTTGATTCTATGGTAAATGATTGACGACTTACTTTATGCGAAAAGAAAATAAAATTCACATTCATCTACCTTTTTTTTCAGTATTGCATAAGCTTGAGCCCCGGTCCTTTTTGTTGCTAACATATAATACTGGGTACTTTACTTTATTTTGGGCGTTGGTTTTTGTGGATACAATTTTTTCAATACTTAGTACATACCCTCTTTGAATCTACGGGAATAAAGGGAATAATTAAAAAAAATCTTCCTTGTTTGAATAGTAACTATAATACAAAATTTATTGAAAAAAAAACAACTTACTCTCGTGATTAAATTAAGACACGCTCTACTAGTTTCAAGTCAAAACGGGACTCATTATTAACGAGCAGCGTGCGCGTCGTGTCGACGTAGCCAACAGACTGGTCATTGAGCTCACGTGAATAAGTCGTAATGAGTCGTGAAAAAGTCACTCTTAGAGGAGACTTTAGACACTTCCTCCTGCCCGACCCTGGGCGGCAGAATTTGATGATTTTCCCCCCACAAAAAAAGGTGTATGTGCAAAATCGCAAAATCGACATACCGAACATATTGTACATATCCTTTAAAAATTAGTTATAATCCTTCTAGAAAACTCAATTCCATAACAACAATTCAGCTACCGAGGTTGTCTTCCAGGCATGATGAGTATTATGACATTCTCGTTAGCGGGAGACGTTTTGACATGGGTAGTATGGGTACATGACACACGAAAGGGTAAGTACCGCCATTTTGTTTTCCATCAAATTATTTTACCGTCATAACAGCTTTACACAATGATTTTGTGTTGACCTTTCTTCAAAGAAATTGTTTGGTTTCTTTTTACTAAATTAAAGGATGATTGTTTTCGATTTATTTCCTAAAGAAAATATAAATATGTAAACGATATTACATACGCATACATATACTTACGTAGTATGACACAACATTTTTAATATTACAGTTTACAATTACAATTATGTTGATACGAGGGGGGTGCGGATCATCGAATTACTCCTCTAATCCTTGGTGAGGCAAGAGGGAGTGTCAGTCTCTTACTGACTAAAATCCACCCATTTTTTCTCCTGCTCCAGACTATCGAAAATATGAGTCCATATACTATCGAAAATCTCATAATAATTCTCGATTTCTTGTCCCAGAAATCAATTTGAGACTTTTTGGTCATTAGCCAAGCTTACAACTATTCGATCAAAGCAGTCAGAATTTGTCTTTCTTTGTGATCAACGCCGACTCACAATCTCTTTCAACACGATAACTAGCGACCTCTACCTTACTAACTTTAAAACGAAGCATAATGATATTTCTCATGAGAATTCAACACACGTAAAGGAAAAGGTTGTAAGTACAGTGAGGATATTTGAGGCCTTCCCTCCGGCGTCAGAGGGAACGAACCTATGCTTGTTAGCAATTTAATCTGATATCATATCAAGCACATAACTGTAAAACGATCTACACGTGCACTTCGAATTTAGCCCTTTTGGGTGTTGGAAATTCACTTCCCTATTTTTACTTCCTAATTTTATTAATAATGTGTTCGAGTTATAAGAAAAGAGAGTTTTTGTAGGTAGCTTTTTTAATTGATTTCCTATCTCTTTCTATCCTATAATTAATTTGGGTACAATAATTTTTTGCTTTCTTTGTAATGGGCCTGCTCTGTCTATTTGTCTGCTGACTGTCTCGCCTAGTAGTTCACCTTGGCCCTGTCTGGCCAAATTCGGACGTATATTTATATTTTATACATTATAACTAACTAGTTCTAAACACACAATAGAATAATCTATACTAATATTGTAAAGAGGTAAGTTTGTAAGTTTGTATGTCGGGGGTAATATTTGGAACCGCTGGTCGGATTTACAAAAGTCTATCTGATAGATAGCTTTACCATTAAATGGAGCTGAGCAGCGGGTGAAACCACGCGAGAGTAGCTAGTAACTTGGAAGTTTTATTTTAATTTAATTGTAAATACCTTTTATAACATTTTTCTTACTGAACACTGAAAAGAGAATATCCTTGTACCATGTTTGGATAGGCAAAGGGTAGACATACAATTTTAGCTACTCGGTACCTAGTAGCATCTCGTTCATGAGAAAAAAAAACATAAAATGTTTTATGTTTCATGTTATGTTTTTATAGGTACACAAGGATCCATTTGACTAATCGCTCGGAACGCAAATAAATCCATAATGTATAAAATATGATGACTAGGTTATTCGATACCCGTAATTCCATCAGTCTTTTGCGACCTAATTTCGGTTCCTGATCAGTCATCAATTCGGCATTTCGGGTTAATATTTGGCCATTTCCGTCGTACGATACATTGTGTTTTGACAATGATATATATTTTTAACGTTTTCGAGGTCATGGTTATATCAGCTTATTTTAACGGAGAGTTTTACATCTTTTATGTATGCGGTAACTTAGTGGTGTGAACGACTTATCGAGGTACGTAGGTACTTAAGTTTCGAAAACATGTAAAATCGTAAAAAGCGCGCCAAATATAGCACACGTCAAAAATTTTTTTTTTGTAACAAATCTACGGCACTCGGCCATACAGTTTAATCGATTAATCGTGAAAATGCAACTTTGTCGTCATAATGCTCATCTTTCTAAACATGCTTCTATTTAGCAGAGAGCTACCAAGTTTTTTTTACGGCAATTTATACTGTTTCTATTAGAACAGTTAACAATATATGTATAAGTATATAAAAAACAAAGTTTACCTCAGGTCTTTTTTGTTCTAGAAATAGTTTCTATAAATTAATAAAAGTGGAACAAAGAAAAATAATAACTAGCCAATAAATTACATGATACCGGCCTACGAAAAACGCCATAAGTAGGTACTGTCAGCTAACATAATTTATTCAAGGCATTATTCATTTGTCTTTAGAAAAAACGATTACAGAAAATATCTACTTAGGTAAATGTTCCACACGATTTCCCCTAATCTCTCGTCGCATTTGCAACAGTAATTTTGGTTAAACTTGGATTGCTTTTAAAAAGTTGGCGGGAACAAAGTTTTTTGTTTTTAGCGATTGTTTTCGTATCTTCTTATCTATATCCAGAATGTTCTTCGTGTTTGAAATCAGAATACCAATTTCAAGGCTAATATAATATATTAAATTACTGAGTTCGAAATTACTTTCGCATGAAGATCGTTGTTCCTCTTGTAAGGTATCTGCGGTGATTGATTGGTTCCGTGTTTTATCGGAAATGTTCCAAAATTATGAAAGGCGTGTCGCATTTTGTGGAATGAAGACGTATTATTTTAATTTATACTGAATGTTGAACATAAAGTTGGTTACTCGGAATGAATTCGCCTTAAATTCAGTCTGAGTTACGTTCACACAATGGAAAGAAAGAAAGTCATTATATGACAATTACCAGTTATTTAGTTTCAACACTAGTGATACTTTTTAGAATAGAATAGAATTTGCAATAATCAAATCACAGTTCCAAAGGAATTCTTCAAATTTTAGCCCATTCGAATTGTCTTCTATTTCGCAGGACTTTATTTCACTTAATTGATATTGTTACAGGAAGAAAAAGACCAGCTCCTGACGACAAACTGTTGGATTACACAGATCTGGACAGACTACCATCTGAGGTGGAACACCAGTGACTTCGATGGCATCGGAGTCATTAGAATACCGTATGAAAGGGTCTGGAGACCCGATATCATACTTTATAACAAGTAAGTCTTTGATATTATGTCTAGTCTTTTGTTTAATATTATTTCACTTACCTACTGTAACAACATACTAGGTCTACTGGGAAGTAGATTAAGGCTATTTAATTCTATAAAGTTAGATTATGCTCAGAGGTCTATTTCTATTAGTTGGAAAATCCAAATTCCCTTTGAATTTACATTACAGTCAGGAAGTAATAATCACCTAATTAGAATTAAGTAGCTTATCAGATATGTTTTAGATGTTCTCTTATGATCAAAAAAGGTTTCACAATATTAAAACGATGTACTTAACTATGTCGTTTCGTGGGTGATGTTATATAGGCCCAATTCTTCCTCTCATTCCATTCCAAATCTCCAAATCTTCCAACTTCCAAAACCGTTATCTCATAAAGCTGGCTTCCGATTGCTAGCCATCAGGTGTCTCGTCTGCTAGTTGACCATACCACATTCAAAGAGAAACTTAAAATTACATTACAATTAAAATATACATGAAAAGGTATCGCATATAAATACAAAACTATTTCGCGATGCGCGATGTTCACAAAATCAATAATTTAAATCTAGAACTTTCTGTAATTCTATCTTGTCTATGCTAAGTCGATTGATTAGTTCCAACGTCTGAATCTGAACTTTAAGCAAGAGTATGCACGTGTATAGAAATTATATTATGGAAGTTTGTCCACTTCACTTCTAGATAAACTAAGGCTAATTCAATACTGTAGTTCTATATACCATGTTAGTTTCTAATTGTAGTAATAGATAGATAGTTGGTAATTAATTTGTCATGTATTTACATTTGCTTTGTTGTTTTAATGTATCCGAATACGTAATGGATTCCAAATCAACATTTACTCAATTAGGGATATTAACATAATATTCTCTTTTGTTTTTAACCTTGTATGTACTCTGCGGGACAGTTAATAATAAATTCGTAAGAGCAAATAGCCTATCAAAATCATAAACCTCCTTTTGCTTTGCCGAAGTCGGGTAAAAATAGCTTTATATGGGGAATATTTTTTTAAGCTTACCTCGTCATTTTTGTTCAGGAGTAAAATTTGAAATAGATTAAGGTTATGGATAAGTCACCAAATCGTTCAGTATTTTTTTGACAGTTAGACAATCCACCTAAACGAATAGACTCCGGGCGTTGCACGACGATCTCTTGGTAGTTCCCCACCCAACCAGAACCAGACCTGATTGTTATGACCAGACGTAGTGATACGCGCGCGCCTCGTTGACCACCACACGTGGAGACCAACAAGGCTGATTTTCAGCCAAGGTTGTGGTTCAAGGTTCAAGAGCAATAATCTGCCGCGGTCTTAACTTGGAGCAGGAGAAGAAATATGGTGGTTTTTAGCCAGTAAGCATTTGACACTCCATCTTGTCCCAAAATAGATATATGTTAGCATATAAGTACAACCTCTACTAAAAAGTAAAACACGGAAAACTAAAGAAAATTCTGAACTACAATAACTAGTTGCTACTGCAAAAAGTTTGTATTAAACGTTAAACTTTACAAAGAGTGAAAGAAAAATGGTGGCGCTAATGACTCGAAAAAAATTAACTGTTCTTTGTGTGTTCGAATTGTTGATTACCTACTATGGGGAGAATATAAGATTTAATGAAATTTCTTGAAACATACACTTGCATGTATTATGGCTGTGTTATAATTACGTGATCTTTTTGGTGCCTTTTCTATGGGCTTTATCTGAAAAAAGTTGTGTGTTTATCCTAATCTTGAATCTTTAAGAAGGAGATTGAAGCTTAAAAGAATTAGGTTTAAGTTACAACGCTGCTACGTTAAGACCCTTACGACACCCGCGTGAAGAATAGAAGTGGCCTGTGCCCTTATTAAATTTGGTTCTACCGTCTCCAAACAAACTTTGGAAATTTAAATGAATAAAAAACTTTTTTCTCTCCTTCTGTTCATGTATCTAGGTACATAACAGTTCACTGCGCTATCCGCCAACACGAGTTCGGTATTAATTAGTAATAACTATGTATTTATAAAATTAATGCCGCCTCCCACGGTTACGTTCAGAAATATATTTTTATTCTGTATTTATTTGACTTCGTTTGCCAGCTTGTGGTAATGGGAATATGATAGCGTATGAAATATATATTGTAGAAGTATTGTAAGGTGTAAATAAAAGAAAATGTTTGGAAAATCAAAAATCAAAAACTGTAAGTAGCATGTGAGAAAATCTTTGGGGAAATTAAATGCAGGTATTCTAAAAAAAAAATATGACCTTATAATTCCTGCTATTGCAAAATGCTATGATAAAGTTGCATTTAACTTGATAGTACGCAATATTATTTTACCAAAGTAATTCGTCTTGTAAGTTTTTAATCCATCTCTAATTATGGCCATAGACTAGTGATAGTTGGCTTATTTGACTCAGACATAATTATCTTGACGGACCTTATTATAGAACACATACTTTAGATCTGGTGAAATATGACTAACCTATAGATAATTAAATATAATAAACAACTACTTATTATTACAAATAAATAACTACATAATCGCATTAATTAACTCAAAAAGCATTAAAATATGACATAATTTTCAAATTAATTTAGTACATCTCATGATCATTACTGACTATACAAAAAACCTTTATACATCATCATTATTATAAGTCCCTACTACTGAGCAAAGACCACTTCTCATTCGCGATTTCAAACTTATATCTCCAAGTTCTTCTTTACAATGTTTTCCTTCACCGTATGAAATACTCCTAAACAAAATTGATAAATTGGTCGTGGTAATGTGCTTTTGAATAAAATGAATATCTTGCACCGGGAACTCATTACAAAAACGGGACCTACATGAGTGAAGTGGTGTCTGCGACGGAGTATATTAGTGTATGAAAAGGGTTTTAAAGATGATAAATGATGCTGAGTTTGTATTCAACTCTCAGACGATTACGCGACAAACTGTAAGTTCCGGGTTTGCTCATAACAGCTTTGGTAATCCGACCACCAACCATAATTATCAACTTTGCTAGTTACGAGCTTTTACGCTACGTTTTACTTTTGTGAATTTCTTTAAAACAGAAGAGAATTTAGTTGATCTTCATTTGAGATTAAGAAGTTTTTAATTCGAATAATATCTAATAGTAAATGACTACTGGAACAAACTACTGGAATACCATAGACTACTGGAATAACAAGGATGAGGCGAGACGGAGTGTCAGACTCTTACTGACTAAAATCCGCCCAGTTCCTTCTTCTAATCCAGGCCGAGGGCTACATAGGACTGCTAACTTAACTGGTAAGAAGTGGGTGTACACCTTTTACGTGGCATTCAATTTCAATAATAGGCATCCCTGCTTTCTCCTTCGGGTATAAAAGCGAGACGTGTAATTTTAGACAGTTTAACGTAACCGTTTATACAATTTAACGTAAAAGATAATTATCCAGTTTGGTCGAATAAATATTTTTTGTCATATTCGGTAAACTTTCACTAGGTAGTGTATATGGATATTATTTACATACTTAGTCATCACGTTGTATGTAGAAATGACGAATGTAATTTCAGTTTATTCGTTTCTCCTTCCTTTATATTTCTGGAAAGTTTGTACTTTGAAATCATTCAAAAGATTTGCTGGCTTGGAAAATCATGTTTGTATTCTTTTTTAAACAAAAGTAACAAATTCTTCAGTTTGTGAAGCCGAAGACCTTAATTTAATAAACAAAAAGACATTACGTAATTTCGAATCGAATTTCTTCTTTTGTTTTTTATTTTGATTCAATAGACGATCGAAAAAGAAATGAATGGAAGAACGCAGGAGGGCCATAGTTAGCTGAAAATGAACGATGCTGGCGGTTGGACAATTAAATCCACATTTTTATCAGCTATGATTGCTTGCAGAATTTGCAGGCTTTCATGAGGATATCCTTCCAGTATTTTCTTTTCAAATATCCATATTACAAAATGGTATCTTTTACAATTAAGTATGTATTTTTCTTCATTTTCTGCTAGAGACTGCATAGTTTAAAATGTTTAGTGCTCTGAGGTTTCATCTTATATGATCTTGTCTGAGGTTCAATCCTTTCTTGCTTAAGTAACATGCAGAGATGCTCATGCATTTTAAATTTAATCTTGTTTGTGTGTTTGACACAAATGATTTGATATTTTCTTTCAAGAATGTTGTTTTATGATAGGTATCTTTATTCTTCTGAGATTATGAGCAAATAAAGTCACATTTTCTTATTATTTGAGACAAGTAGTCCAGTAGTAGCCATTTGATTATGTGCGTATCAATTATATGCAATAACAATCATGTTAAAAGACTCTATATGTTTCTGAATTTTTAATGTAGCTCGATGTTATTATTACCAAACCCGTGAACAAACCTTTCTTAAAGATCCGCCTTATTCTTCAAGCACCATAAAACTAAAACAACAAAAACATTTGCCAAGTAAACATTGTATTAGCATTCGTAAGTGATAATATGGAATGGTCGCTCAAATGGTGCGTATATATTAGGTCGCTCCAGTACAAGCTATTAAGTCGTGACGGGACTAAATGCATAATGTAAACGTGCTATTACCGACGCAGTGCCAGAGCATTTTGCAGTTTCTTGTTCCTTGCCAAATAAACATTTTGAGGCACTGGGTTTAGTGAAATTGAAATGTCAAGTCAATTTATTACACGTCAAGTTGTACACCTGAAGTGAAGCGTTGCTTCGGACCGCTTGCCACATTGAGATTGATCTTCCACCGTTCCACACTATTAAGTAAGATGGTTGATATAGTATTGTGTGTGGTTTGTTTGTGACTTGATTTATTAGTTAGTTGTTGAACTATCTTCCTATAGTAATATATGTGGAATGTTGTGGACTGTTAATCTAGGGATTCATGGAATTAGTATACTGTAAGAAGGGTTTAACTTAAGCGTAGGCCCTTGGTATGTCGTAACAAGCGTCGTGCACAATTGTGATTATCGTGAAGATTCTAGAGTTAACAATACACGCCCTTTTCTTTCCGGGCTGGTT